TGCTGGTCGCTGAGGGAATACATCAACTTAGTGCTGTGGATCGCCGGATCGGCTTTCACCGTGGACGAAGCGGAGTCCAGCCCGGGGTCGTCACATGTGGTTGCCGCTCCTTCGTCGAATCCGCCGGCCGGACAGGGCATCACAGTATGGTGAGGGGCGTAACATTTCCGTCACACGCTTGAGGTATTCGGCCAATCACAACGCACTGGATAGCTGGCCAATCACAGCACACCTCGCTTTTCAGACCAATGAGCTTTGTAAAAATCGACACGTTTCAAAAAGGCGGGGCATAGAGGAGAAACAATAATTACAGTATGTGGAAAATAATGTGTTTTTTTTTTACTTTAAACTACATAAACACATTTCATTACACCAAATACACAAAATAATGTTCTTTTTAGCAGCATCATATGACCCCTTTAAGCCTTGCCAGTTTAATTAGTAAATATTAACTAGAGCCAGAAGACGTGAATGAGAAGCTTCATCCGAAGTGCCAAACTCGCGTCTCGGAGAGCGCGCAAATACGGAGTTCTCTTTCAAGACTTGTGCTTGAATGGATAAATTCACACAAAAATTGTCAAAATGCCCATCTTGGTGAGGATCCTAGCAGACTAATAGTTGGTTGAACGTGCAGTATCGGTGTACTGGATCCGTGCATTGTCTTAAAGTGACAGCACTTTCTTAATGTTAATCAAACAACAAAAGACAAGGAAATCACTCACTGCTCTTGATTGAATAGCTTTTGTAACTTTAATAAGGATTAATCTTTAATACAGTCAAATATGCAATGTTATTTTACATTTGATTACTTTATTCAATTTCTGCACCTAAAAACTGTTAGACCTACCTAAAAAAAATATGAAAAGCACTGTTTATTTTATTTCTTTATTTGCTCGGTTGTATTTATTTGTTCTGTTGCTTGTAATTAGGTTATTTGTTATGTATATGGAATAAATGCACAAAATATATTTGACTTGATTAACAAGACAAAAAACACAAAAACTGTACGACATACAAAGTATGTTGCATTTGGTTCACTTTTGTGACATGCTCCACAAACAAGTTCACAGAAAGGAAACCAAGATGACAGAAAGTGCTTCCTGTTTGTTTTCTTTATTTTACAAAAGCACAATGTTCTGTTTTTATTGTGAGCGTAAACACTTTGCTGTTTGGAATAATGTCGTATATGTATGACCAAAAAAGATGGAGTATTTTATGTTTCCACTCTTCAGTTGCTCCGGCGCCTGACGCACATACAACATATTCTAGCATTGCAAACTTGACATTGCAGCCTGTTCTTTATAAAAAATAAAATAGTCAATCAAACATATAAAAAGTTACACTGCTCAATTTAAACAGTCAATCCAATGCAATCTGCCGTTGAGCATAAGCACATTTTGCCCATGTGAAGAGGATGGTTCTATATTCTATTCGATTGTACCGTGATAACACAAATAATGTTAACTTCAATAATAATAATAATAATTGCATGAATATTTGAATCTAGTGCTATTTGAAAAGGACAGATTTAAAAAAATCTACTATCAGGGAATTCCAATGTTTTATGTTTTAAAAAACAATTACAGTTATGACAATATGACAATATTTTTGGTGAGTTGATGGTGTAATACACTTCTCATAATGTAAAAATTATTACATTATGTGCCCAAGATGTTATTACCTTTAGAGAAAATTATTACATTATGAACATTTTATTACATTAACAATGTAATACTTATTACAGTATGTGCAGTTATTACTGTATGCTTAGTTATTACATTATGAGTTGCTACAACAGTTGACACAGAGCTTCATCCACAGGACATCCACATTACATTAGTATTCGGGTTTACAGAGTTTTTTTTCCGCTCAGTGTAAGAACTCCTCTTGAGAAGTTCCTGCAGCTTCCTTTCAGAGTGAGATGCTTTAAATTGGCTGGAATTCGTCCGATGACACTGCAGGTGCCCATCTCTGAAAACACAGCAGAGCTTGTGTAAGTCAGATCTCCTGAAGAAACCTTTTTGCATCACTGTTCATCATGCATGCATTCTGAGCCACTGTTTGTATCTGTCCGGATCACAGTCCATCTTCAACATGGGACAGCTCTGCCACAAAATACCTGCACAATCTATTACAAGGTGAAAGTGTGCCTTGGTTAATCCAGCTCATGCTTACTGTCAGTACTTAGTGATTTTTGAGGCTCTGCTTGTTTTTAGTGTCGACTCTGGTTGAAGCCGTTCTGTGTGAAACGCAGGCAGGCTGCTCTGTCATTGAGCTCTACTTGACTATCAATAATATAAAGGTAAAATATGTTTACATGGCATTATTTTGCCATCCTCAAAACACAGAGTTGTCCTGAGCAGGATTTTGAACAAGTGAGATGGACTGCAGATGATTTAGGGTAAATGTTATGTTGCAATTCATTGTGATTGTGTAGATCTGTGTGAACCATGAGCTCGTGGCGAAGAAGTTTGCCTGTTTCGTGAGTGAGAAGTCCAGTGCGCTGGAAGAGAACAGGAATGGAGATCGCGCTCCTATCAGCCTGGCGTGGGACATCTACTCCAGCCCTAACCAGCTCCTAGAAATGAAAGGACGCTGCCCTGTCAAAGCTCCGCCATCAGATATTCTCATCAGAAAAGAGCGGAAAGATGATCCACAGACAGGTCAAGCTAATGAATGAATGAATATATATACAGTATACAAGGGTTGGACAAAATAAGTGAACATCAGTTATTATAGGGGTTAATATCACTTGTGTTTTGCTTTTTTTTTTTTTTTTTTTTAAATATAGAAAATCAGATAGGAGTTTAAATGTCAAACAAAAATATGTTCAATACACAAATATCAACAAATATGAAGGAAGGAATTTTATTTAACTATTTACAGGGTATCTGCAGAATAAGCCCCCCTCAATGTCTACGGTGGTTATCGCCCTGATCAGACATGAAAATATGTTGTGGCACTATCGTGCAGTCTATAATGATATGACGTTAGTTAGCAAATATTAGCGATTTTTTGCAAACATTTCTTTGAGTAACATGACCATAAATATGAACTCACGATTGAATGTAACATAAAACGATTACTAAAATGATTACTTTTCGTTAAAATCTTTATTATTGCCAAAAATGCTTACATTTGTCTTTTTGTTCGCTCGGGCAGCCATGTTGCCCCTGAAGCCGGTTTACGCTGAGATAATTCATACCCCTGCGTTTGAAGTGTGGTCCCGAAAAATCTTCATTTGAAGGGCTATCTGGCCCTTCCCCTCCAACCAAAAGAGAATCGAGACACCCCTTCCCCTTCACGTGAATGCGCGAAACGGAGGGGTAGGGGAAGGGCTAAGGGGTAGAATTGGGATTGGGCCTTACTTTGTTTCTCATTCAGAAACAGAAGAAGCTTCTCATTCTGAGAAGCAGAAACCACAGGTGTCAGAGGAAGCACACATGCCATCTCAGGTTAACCCTCGAGCTCCTAAACTGACCCGCAATGCTGGAACCGATACTGTAAGTGTTCGTTTATAGTGATATGGCAGTGTGTGCGTGTCTGCCAGTTAAACTCTTATTTCTGTGGTTTGATTCAGATTGGCAGAGGATGGCGTATCAGAGCCGAGGCCACTGACATCTTCACAGATGAACGCTGTGGTCAGACTGACATACACAAGCCTCGGTAAGATTTCCACCTGAACCTCGTCCCTCCTGATTTAATAGCTCATAACTCATGTATAATGGAGTTTTTGATTGAATTACCATCTTAAGTCAGGTGTCAATCCAAACTAAAATATACTAAGTAATTCAGTTAACTTGCCAACAAAGTAGTTTAGTAAGTAGTACGTTAAGTAATAAAGTAAATAGTTTTCTTTTCACAGATACATGAAGTTTAACACACTTTCACATTCAAAGCAGATTCCTCAAGTAAGTACTGATGTGTCTTTCAAAATTGTATTACTAATAATATTTTTTTTTTTTGTATCTTCTGAAATTGAAGCAGTTAGTGCATGAGTGAATAACGATCAGAAAATGAGTGACTGTGAAATGACACTCTTAATATTTCCAGCCTGATCAAACCGATAATAACAGCATTGCTTCAACATCAGCTGCAAGCTCACCATCATGGTAGGACCGAACATGAGCGTGTCTGATTGGCATCAAGTGAATCTGAAACCAGCCTGATTATACAGGGCTTACTTGAGACCAGTTAGTCATTCTGCAACCCAGCTAATTGACGTGAAATTGTGATTGTGTGTCTTCATAGTGCGAGTGACTCCTCTAAAGAGCAGAAAGTGGCAGCTCTCTCACAAGAGCCCAGTCTTGAAGATCAACTGACCTCTTCTAGGTAGGTTTTACATTACTTCTAAACTTCTATTGCCCCTCAGGGCTAAAACATCATATTCATTTAATCTAATTTGCTTCATCTTTTTCATCTGTTTCCCCAATTTATTTTATTTAATTGCGGTCAGACTTATGCAGTTTCTAAACCCTGATCCACTCAATCCAGACCAAGAGTCTCTTGATGCCAAAGTAAGAGCCTCATAGTTTGTATTCTGGATTTTATCATTTCTTAGTTCTTATATGTATTTTGGTATTTAGTCTCTCCTGTATGGTTTTTACAGGTTGAACGCTGTGATCCGGGACACTTAGGAGTTATAGTGCACGCCGCCCTTCGTGTTGAACCCTGCAGTAACCTGACACGTGCACCCATCAGTGAGCAGTTCAGAAAGGTCGATCAACATGCTTTAATATTGTCCATATTAGAATATTCATTGCATTATTTATCATTTCTGCTGCAAAGTACAATGGAAAGTCAGTCCAACTCTGTTAACTTCCTGCTGTAAGTGTACAAAAATGGAGGAATGTGAGGTATAATTGGACAGCTGTATTAATGATTTTAATATATGATACTTGACCTGTTGTATCTGATTAGGTTATGTTTTTGTTTGTTTTAGTTCCTGTTGTGGAGGAAGTATAATGGACCGAATGTAGCAGAGAGTTACTGTTGGCCCGCTGTGGCACGAGGTTTTGACACAGTACTGGTGTCACACAGCGGAGACAATCCTCTGTCCTACATTCCTCCTCTGCTGATGCTGTTACAGACGGTTTCTGTCGTCTCCAGTCTCGCTGCTCGCACTGGGGTGAGATTCACTGCTCTGTTATAGCTCAAAGAAGAATAGAGTTGTACACTAAATGGCTTAAAGTAAATGCATGGTGCAGTTCCACCTCTGGGTTTACTGGTCCCTTTGGTGCAGCTCCATGTTTGGTTCTGGTGGGCCCTGTGGTGCAGCTCCACTTCTGGGCTACATCTGCCTATGGTGCAGCTCCACCTTTGACCTCAGTGGGTCCCATTGTGCAGCTCCACCTCTACCATCAGTCTTGGTTGATCTAATTACAATTTAATACCACACTGAATGCACATGTGAAAGGTGGCCAATGCAACTTTAGTCACTCAGACCACTTTAAGGGGTGGTCAGAAACTTCATATTAGTGTAAACAACATCAAATTAGGGCAAAATAAGCATTTCAAATTTCCAACTTTGTATGGCATGATGAAAATAACAGTTCAGTGTAGCATGTTTAGAAAAGCCCATGCATATGCACAAGAGTTCATAGAAGATGTCTGGCATGGTGCAGATCCACCTCTGGGCATAATGGGCTCACCCATCACTCTTGGGCTATCTAATCAAATAACATTGAATGATGACAAAACAAGGGTTTTAATTTTTGCCGATTTCATGTGGTTTGGGAAGAAAAAGGCTTGGTGTAGCATGTTTGAAAAAGCATACTGTATAAGCACAAGACTTCACAGAAAATCTCTGATATAGTGCAGCTCCGCCTTACTTTTAATGATCTGATCCCAGTTTTGCTGCTACATCTTCAGTTTCTCTCTGTCTGCAGCCCATAGCAGTGATCCTGTGTCCAGGGTGGGAGAAGGTTCAGACAGTGCTGGAGCTCCTGGAGGACAGTAAAGCAACTTACAACCTCCATCCCACCAGTGTGCTGCTGGGTGTGGACCAGGAAGAGCCCAAAAAGTTCAAGATCCAGAGGAACTGTGAGCTTTTGTCTGCAGTAGATCGAGTAGAATGTTGATTGTGGAGAGTTTCAACTCGTTTGAATCTGGAGCAAAACCAAAGCTAGCTTTAATGTTGCTGTGTCTGTCTTTGTGATGTTAATAAAGGCCAGTTGCTGGTTACAACACCGTTTACCATGATGAGGCTGCTGGATGCTCAGTGCTTCCTGTTCCTGAGACTGTGTCACTGGACCAGGAAGACCCCAAAAAGTTCAAGATCCAGAGGAACTGTGAGCTTTTGTCTGCAGTAGATCGAGTAGAATGTTGATTGTGGAGAGTTTCAACTCGTTTGAATCTGGAGCAAAACCAAAGCTAGCTTTAATGTTGCTGTGTCTGTCTTTGTGATGTTAATAAAGGCCAGTTGCTGGTTACAACACCGTTTACCATGATGAGGCTGCTGGATGCTCAGTGCTTCCTGTTCCTGAGACTGTGTCACCTGGTGCTGGATGAGGCTGATGTCCTTTATTCACAAGCACCTGAGCAGGTGACAAGAGAAGAGGACAGCACATTTTTAGCTGTTGATACATACTCAAAATTTGTCTGACCAGTTTTTGCTCTTTACCTCTCTGTGAAGATGTCAGTAATCCTGAAGCACTTCCAGAAGGTGGTCTCTGGAGAAGAGAGGTCCTCGTGCCCCAGGCAGATCATCGCGGTGGGCAGCCGCTGGAGTGCTGGGATAGAGGCTCTGGTCAGAGAGCACATGATTTACCCCTCTGTCATCATAACCGTGATGGAGGAGGCAGCTCTGTATGGCAGGGTACATCAGGTCAGTCTTCATAAACTCAGTCATTTCTCTACCGCCCTCCTTGAGCTCTGACATCCAGTCTGTGTTTCACATTCAGAGGGCTCAGTTGTGTCTGGACTGCGATAAGATCTCCGTTCTGCTTGGATCGCTGGACTTCCACCCGCCCAAACCCCAGAAAACCCTCATCATTACCAACTCTGCTGAGGAGACCGAGCATGTGTATAAGGTACGGAATTCCACCAATCACAGTGAAGGATGAGTAATGATCCACCAATCAGATTAAATATATGCAATCATGCCTGTGTGGTGGTGAAAATCTAAATTTAGCTTTCATGCTCAGCATTACAGAATGATTTAATGAGAAGTTGTCCATTTTTTCCTGGCATTCTGAATGTTTGCAATATTTGGAACCACTGATGTCTTAATGCTGATTGGCCTCCGCTTCTGATGGATTTTACTGTAATGCACATCTGTCATTCAGGCTGTGGTCAACACTGCCGTGTTCACACTGAAAGCTCATGAAGATGTGACGGATCAGTTTGACTTTGTCATTGATCAGTGGAGGAAAGACATCGGCCATGGAACACAAGTCATTTTGGGTAAGTATCTGTAATATGACAAACTGTCAAACTAAATGTGTTAACGCGTCTCTGTTTTTAAGCTATTGGTTTTTCTTTCCAGGTAATCATTTTTGGTTCCTAGAGCAGACATTTTGTTGATTAGCCAAAAAAAAAAGTTTATGTAAATAAAATGTTCCCTTTAGATTTGGAGAATGTTCCCTTAATGTTCTCTTAACACTAGAACTACCAAGGCAGTCATTTTGACCGTTTTTAAATTTTGAAATGTAATAACTTTGTTTAAATAAAACCCATATAACTATAATACCCTGACTTTTCCTAAATATGTGTATATTTTATATAACATTGTTATTTTATTAAAATTACAAAACGCAAAAGAGTTCTGAGTATTTCTACCTTGAATGGCCAAAGTGGTCAAATTGACCGTTCGCATTACAGACGGCGTATAATTTCTGCTTTTGCGACTTTTTCCCGTGGTTGAAGATGCAAGTCACTGTTGCCTAGCAACTTTTGTTCTAGTTGTTTTTATATTCTATTGTAAAATTCCCTTTCATAAAAAAGCTGGGTGGACCCTTCCAATTCGACAAGTGCTGTCATTCAATCTGCCACGGTTTCAAGTATGTTACGCTGGAAGACTAGCCTGGCTGTTATCAATAATAGCCTACTTCAATGGTATGACAAAATAGCAATAATAATAATGGCTATTATTATTTTATGCTAGTGTAATGCTATAGCTAATGCGTATATAGGCTAATTTTAGCCTCGACAAGACTGATATTGTGAAATAAAACAAACTAATTAGGTTAATTAGTTTTTTTTTTAGCGACAGTGATGATGTTTATTATTACCTATATTATCATAACAGATCCATTTATTCATGGATCATGATTCCAGTGGTGGCTGCTTAGAATTGTTTCCGATTCATGTGATCCAAGCATTTCCAATAACTCCAGAGCGTTGTAAAGTGCAAAAGTAAAAATGTATTGAAAAAAGACGTATGTAATCACTTCCGAAATTCACAAAATGTTTTATCTATAGAAATATTCTGCTTCAGTTCATATTTGTTGGCATTTAGACTTTCAAATACCACATTTTCACTGCTCTTTTGCTCATAACTTTTGCTCTCCCTCTTGCCGGACACGAAGCGAGGCACACACATTCGGGAGCGGTCTACGTAGCTCTTACATTAAATATTACAAAAAATGTCTTATTGACGACAGACATTCAAAGCTTCATTGTAAAACCTCAAAAGAAGCTTCGAATGTAAATATGATATGACAAAAATGGCATTCAGTTCAGTCTAGTATGAACGGTCAGAATGACCGCTATGGCCATTCTAGTAGTTATAGAATCCTGGTAGTTCTAGTGTTAACCTCTGTTAATTACTATATCAACTCATCGCACAATATGTAAGGTTTATTCATGGTTAAAAAAAAAAAAAACCTACTGACGACATTCCTAGAAGTTAAGAAATGGTTGCTAAAAACATAACCAAACGGGGCCATGTGCTAATATTAGGGAGCGTTCTTTCTTGTCTGAACTTTCATTCTTCCTTCAGTTACCACCAATGACTGCCTTAAGGCTCTCGGCATCCGGGACGCCACGTGCGTGGTGCATTATGGGTTTCCCAGCTCCCCCAAACTCTTCGGCAGCCGCCTGTTCTGCATGTCAGAGCATTTCAGAAACCTTTCAGATATGGTACCTGCTTTGATTTCTTTTGTCCTGTACAATTTTTTTTGGGACGTTTGTAAATCTGATTCAAATATAAGAGAGTGTGCTGTAAGCTTTGCTTCGTAACGTCGCGCACAGGATCATGCAGAGAGCTCCTCTCCTGCAGCTCAGTCCGTGTTGCTGCTGTCGGAGCTGAACGCCCGTCACGTGTGTGGCGTTCTGCGGTACCTGAGGAGAAGCGGCGCTCTTCTGCCCCCTGAGCTGCTACAGTTTGCTCTGGGCGTCCAGCAGGCCAAAGAGGACCGGAAGACAGACAGACCCCTCTGCTCCTCCCTTAAGAGCTTCGGCTTCTGCAGGTCTCTGCTTCATTGTAGTACTTCAACCAGGCTTTAATAGTGTTAAAAACAAGTAGAAATTGTAAAAAAGTAATACATCATTTGTGAACATATGCTGCTAACTTGAAAATGTACGCTACCTCTTTCCAGAGACAGCACAGTTTGTCCGGATAGACACATGATCAACAAATCCCTGGACCATCCAAAGCACCCTGACTCTGGGACTATCATGGTTAGTTAAAATAACTTGTCTGAGATGTGGAATTTAATCATTAAAATGGAATCTATTGTATAATGTGAAATGTCAAGGAATTTGGCAAGTTTTGGCTTAATACAGTCTATCAAAAGTAGGGCTGTACGACTAATCAAATTCAAATTGCGATATGAGCTATCTTTTTTTAAAACCACAAAACTGCTTATTTAAAGGGGTCATATGATGCGATTTCAATTTTTCCTTTCTCTTTGGAGTGTTGCAAGCTCTTGGTGCATAAAGAAGATCCGTAAAGTTGCAAAGACTAAAGTCTCAAATCCAAAGAGATATTCTTTATAAAAGTTAAGAGTCAACCACACCTACCTAAAACGGCTCGTTCTAACACGCCCCCACATGTCTACCTCACTATGTGGGAAGATTTGCATAACACCGCCCAAATGTTCACGCAAAGAAGGCGTAACTTTATTCTCGCTGTAGTATTGTTGTTGCTGCCGCTAGTGTTGTCAAAAGACCCGGTATTTCGGTACCAAGTCGGTACTAAAAAAATGAAAACGTGCGGAGGACAAGGACTGTTTCCTGAGAGAGTAGACTACAATGCCGGTGTCTGATTCTATAAAGTTGGGCAGTTCCAACTTTGCAAGGACAGTCTGGTGCTTCTGACTCACGGACTGTAAGTACGTTTTCATATGTGAAGGATTTGCCACTGATGATTCAAACGTGAGTTTTGAGCAGTGTAGAGTAGCGCTTGTTGTTTGTCATTTCTCAATGCGTAAAAAGACAGTATAAGTCATTATAATCAATAATTATGTCCCCACTGGATGCAACAAATGCCTAGTTTATAATGGGTTTTAATGTTTTTGTCTCATCGCTCCGGCCGGACAGGGCATCATCACAGTATGGTGAGGCGCGTAACATTTCTGTCACACGCTTGAGGTATTCGGCCAATCACAACGCACTGGATCGCTGGCCAATCACAGCACACCTCACTTTTTCAGACCGACGAGCTTTGTAAAAATCGACGCGTTTCAGAAAGGCGGGGCATAGAGGAGAAACAATAATGTACAGTATGTGGAAAATAATGTGTTTTTTAACCTTAAACCGCATAAACACATTTCATTACACCAAATACACAAAATAATGTTCTTTTTAGCAGCGTCATATGACCCCTTTAAATACGAAGTTGCATTAAATGTGAATATCACAGAATCTGTATCACACATTTTTCATACATGTTTTAATTTATACGGTAAACCTCTGTTATATATCACTTTATTTGTCTAGAATAAAGTAAGTGGGGGGGGGGAAGTAAAGGAACTGATTAAATGATTTTTTTAAATTCATTTGATTACCATAGTTTGATACATTTGTATTAAATCACAAAACTCGTAATAAAAAGGAAAGACAATAGATTTTAAAAGATGAAACAGATTTCATAAGGCCCTATTGAAAGTTTTATGAATTCAATTGATTCGACATCCATTTTAATGATTAAAATGTAATTAGAGTAATTAATTATTTAATTAGTTAATGGTTTTTCATGCCACTAATTTTTTTTAAATTGGTTCTTTTATGTTTTGAGGTCATGTCATATTTTTCAATAGCACTAAATATTAATTCTGGACCTTTTGATTATGTCTCAGTTTGCCTTCTGCTTGTGGTTGACTAAATGTTTCTTTTGACTTTCAAAAGGTTTTGCCGCTGTGCATAAAGTCAGCGAATGTGTACTCAGGCCGTATCGTGAGCCGGAAAGACGATTGTTACGAGACACTCGCTGCTGAAATGAACGCACACTACGGTAGTGAGAGACGCTGTGCTGTCGAAGTGCTGAAGGGAGAACTTTATGCCATTCAAGAGGAGAACATCTATAACCGGTAATGACACTTTACGTACACATCATTAGGGAAACCTTTAGTTTATAATTTAGCATGCAGTAACTTTCAAATGTTTGGAAAGGGATTTTTTTTTCCCATGTAAAGAACACTTGCATTAAATTGATCAAAAATTATGGGAAAGACTTTTATGATGTACAATGGATTTCTATTTCTAATAAATGCTGTCCTTTTGAGCATTTTTATTAATCAAATGCTGAAAAAATTATCATGTTTTGCACAAAAATATTAAGCAGCACAGCTGTTTTCAACATTGATGATAATAAATGTTTCTTGAAGAGCAAATCAGCATATTAGAATGATTTCCAGTGTTTCGCACAGGACTTTGTGAGACTTGTGGCGGCAGGTGACGTCACATATTAATTAGCATATTTATGATGTCATTGCGTCGTGTTTACGTTCAGCCAAGTTTTAGCACTTCAGGTCTGTTCTACTCTCTGAACTGTCACATACTGTAATACAACTGAATGCCCAGTAAAGCTGTTCCCATTTACATATTTTCTGTCGTCATACATAAAACAAGTATTAATAGTGACTAAACACAACCCATTAATACTACATGTTAACCAGGAGTCACTCTCACTATACTCATTAAACCCTGATTTATAATCGAGACATCGTCTGATTAACTCAACGTACATCTACACTAGGGCTGCACGATTAATCGCATGCGGTATTTAACGCGCATCTTGTCAGTAAAGACGGTTCTGTAATCAGCGGTAAATCTCCATCACCTGCACTATATGCTGTGGTTTTGGCTACTTTTTTGTCTCATGCAGCGCACTGCCTGAGTCTGAGTAACAAACTATGTTCATATTTATAAGCCCAAATAAAACTTAAGTTGATGGGAAATAATTGTTTGATTGGTTCTAGGGTGCGTGTTATGGAGGTGCCGGAAAAAGGAGAGCAGCTGTTCAGCAGCGTCACTGCCTGCTTCATAGACGAGGGCCGCACACAGGAAGTGAAGTCACACCAGCTTCTCCAACTTCCTCCTCAGTTCCAGGATTTGCCCGGCCAGGCTGTTGAGATCATCCTGTGCAGAGCGCAGCCCGTCGACGGGGAGGTGGTCTGGAACCCGAAGGTCTCAGTAGTCGTTCTGAAAGAAAACATTTCTTCAGTTTGTACATAAACGTCTGTTTTAGAAAAGAAAAATGTCTGTTTTCAGGTGACCAGAGCCATCAGTCAGAAGATCAAAGGGAAGCTGCATCAGGCCAGGGTTGTGATGAGTGTGGGAAATACTGTCTGGGTTGATCCTATGGTAGGTGTTCAACATGTTTGCATCAGAGGCCTTACAAGGTTTTGCTGGTCCAGTCTGAAGACATTCTGGTGCTCTTTTCTGCATTTGTTCTCCTCGCACAGGTGCGCATGACACGTGTTCCTGGTCTGAAGACCTACATTAATGAGTATAACGTCCATGCTGAGATCTTGGCCTCTGGGTTTGGTGTCAATAATCCTCAGCATGTGGACCTGCTGAAGAGAGTTTTCCAGGGAGACGAGAACGCAAACACACTCCAGCACTTGACAGATGACAGGTTTATTACTAATATTCAGATCAGTCTAATGTTTTAATGCTTTATCTTAAAGTCCCCATGAAATCAAAATTAAAGTTTTTTGGGTGTTAGTATCAATATGTTAGTCTTAAGGTTATCTATAAGGCAGTGTGCTCCAAAACAGTGACAAAATTCGCATTTAGAAGATATAAGCATTCAAAGCTTGCAGTTCGTCACTTCCGCCAAAACGGCTCAACGATTTATTTGACATCACATCGTACTTAAGCTTCTCATCTAACTTTCTGTCCAATCAAATGCTCTCTAGAATCCGAAGCGCCCGTCCCCTACACTATAAAACAGACGCTGAAGCCGCGGCTGAAATCGGTCACTTGTCCACAGAATTAGTATTTTCTGTACAGTGAATGGCACGTAGTGCACTATATAGGGGACAGGGAATGACTCAAACAGTAAATATGCTTTCCATTGAGGAAAAAAAGAAGTCTGGTTTGGCGCTGTGTCACGCACCACCGCACCGCACACACACTCTGCTCCGGGCCAGAGACACGATAGCACGGAGCAGATCACATGCGCGAGTCGGCGCAGACCACAAAATGTATCGGAGCTATTTGAATTCTACACAGAATGCTATATTTTATAGCAATATGGATGAGATTGTGGCTGGCATA